TAATTTAATTTCTCAAATTATCATCATTATTATTATCAAATAAGTATAATATGATTTTATGTTGATAACATATATTGATAACATCAATAACATTGAGGAAGTTATTGTTATTATTATTATTAATATTATTTTATTCATAGACATAATATAGATGGACTGCGCGTTCCTCCCCCCTCGCCAGGTTAGGTTAACTCTATGAAATAACAAGACCRGAGAAGGTAAAATAGCATGGATAAAACATTTTTACTGTTTTTATTCCAAGGTATTATTTTGTGTAAATAAAAGTGATAACTGATAAGACATTAGACATGAAAAATGTAAAATATATACCTTAATTATTTATTTATTTTTTAAGAATCAAAAAAAATTTAAAGGCATGTACGATGGTTATATTTTTTTAATTGTGTTAGTCCATATCACTGCAATTTGTTCATTACTCGGAAATCTTAAAAACANGCTGCAGCCCTCCCCCCCCCGAAATTTTAAGAAAATCTAAAAAATAGCATACAGTTACCTAGATACTCAGCCTCAACTGTATCTAGTTAACCCTAGATACAGTTGAGGCTGAGTATGATTTATGGATATCTAAATGGACCTCGGTAGAACCATCATCAAGACCTTCCACCTCCACAGRCGCTTTAATTTCTTGTGATAAATCTCTATATCCCAATYTCTACCAACTGCTGAAAATACTTGCTATACTTCCCGTGTCAACTGCATCAGCTGAACGCAGTTTTTCAACACTGCGAAGATTAAAAACATATTTGAGAAACTCAACTTCAGAGAATCGTCTTGTTGGTTTAGCATTACTAAATATTCATAGAAATATTTGTACAACGGACGATATGGTTTTAGACAAGTTTGCCAATAGTGGACGAGCTAGACGATTAAAACTTGTTATATAGTACCTACCTAATACCTACATTGTATTATTTGTATTTGTATACATTATGTTTTAAATCATTAAATATTATTTTTTTGTTTTACTGTATTACTATGTTTATAAATGTTCATCAGCCCCTCCCGAAATAAAATTCTGGATACGCGTCTGGATAATAATATTCATTATTCATACATGTAATATAGATTATGATCTATATTATGTCTATGATAATATTACGCTATTATAACTGGAATCAAAAAATCGAAAAATGTAAAACAAAAAAACGCGGCAACTCTCGTGGTAACTATTAATTCCGTATCATGGATGAAAAATGTTTATCTCAACATTTTTCCACGATTTTTTACCTTCTACCACGATTAAAGATATATCTTTAATCGTGCTTCTACCTAAGTTCATTATTGCTGACATGATAAGGGCTAAACGCGCAGTCCATCTATATTATGCCTATGATTTTATTCTGTAATCTGTGCCATCTGTGGTAACTAGTCATTAAGGTGTATTTTTTATAAATACATCTTGCAGGTGGCATAAACATGTTAATTAATAATTAATATGTCTATACTTGGTGGTAGTTATTGGTGATAACCACGATCCATCATTACAGGTTTGAAGATCGTTCGAGCTAATGGTTCGAGTTAATAAGTCATTGCTCATAGAGTAAATTACTCTATGATCCAAGCTATTGCTCAGTGAAATGAAGACATCTCGAATTCTTTCCATCTCGGAAGGTTAGATTTGTTGAACACCCGAACTCTGTTTGATGGACAACTGCACGACTGTTGCGTTCGCCGGACAATTCGTTAAACGTCACTTTACGAAGGCCACAGTACGCGTTCATCCCTAAATCACTCCACATTTTAGTGACTAGAWGAACGCCTATTGTGTTCACCTGACAATCGTTTAGTTGTCGTTTTTTATTCTTCATCCTAGAATCGCTCGGCACTTGAGTTACCTGATGGACGTTCGTTGCCTTTAAATGATAAAACTGTCATAATCTTATGTAGATTTACACCAATAAATTGTTTTGTCATATTATTTTATTGATTATTATTTGATATGTATCATATATGTCTATATAATATATATACAATTACTTGTCCTGGGTTATTCATCATCACCTARCCGGAACTGTTGAAACTATGAGTATGAAATTTAGTCAGGAAGTTCATTTTATTATTTAAAAACTCCCTAAGAAAGGACTTTTCAAAATTCAAACTCTACAGCGGTTAAAATGGTCATATAATATAAAGAAGAAAAATTGTTTGTTTGAATGGTTAAATCTCTGGAACTATTTATCTGATTTTTAAATTTTTTACCGTAAAAAAAGTACAACCAGAGGTATTTAGACTGTGCGTGGCGGCTCCTAGGGCGTCGCGAGAGTTTGCAAAGAGAGCCGCATCAAAACACCAAAAACAATAACATCATACCCAGTGYTCSAATTGGGAAAAATAAAGTAGAGGAGCACCATCCGACGATTTAAAAACTGCTTTCCAAGTGCACAATTAATCAAATCTACGCCACCCACAGTCACTTCACGACACCAACCTTACGTAGGTACATTTTAAATACCTACCACTTTTCAGCTATTACACATAATTTATATGAAAAATCATATAAAAAACGATTCTTAGCGGAGACGGTTTATCTGTCTAGGATATATTATAGATTATTAAAATTTTCAAATCTTAGATAGTTAGATTTAAAAAGAACATTTTTTATGAATTTCTAGCTTAAAATAATTTGCGAATTTTCGTGATTATTACGTATGTGGATGTCGTCAAAATTCAAACTTCGAATGCTTATAAAAAAAAATTGTGACTATGAATTTATTTTATTTTTCAACTGCCATTGTTCCAATATGTTAGGAGCCTTGTATTACATTTTCAAGATTTTCTACCCAAAAAACAGATTTTTATCGAATAATGATCGAAAATTGCATATGCCTATAAATAGTTTAACTTCAGTCGAAATTTGCATGGTGGATAGAATATACTTGTATAAACATTTGGTGAAAATTTCATGTATATATGGTCATTTGTTTTAAAGTTACATCAAAAACCAAAATTGATTTTGTTGAAAACTGATGTGCGTAAAAATGCCTGTTATTCCCTTGATTTTTAGTTTGTTTATCTCGATTATTTAAAAAAATATTGAGATTTTCTTACTTTTGACCCCCCAAAGTACCAAATAGATACTTCTGATCGAACGAAGTACTGAAGTCGAAAATCGAAGCACTTCTACTGCCCCATAACGTGAGGACAGACACAAAAATAAACACACATCATGGTAAGATAAATACATTCCTTGCTCCGCTCAGAATCTAAAAATGTCTACGGTCTACCAGAAAGTAAAGTAGAAATATACCAATATTTTAATAAGTAATAATAATCTATAATTTATCCTAGACAGATAAACCATCTCTGCTTTGAATCGTTTTTCATATACATTTAAATTTGGATTCAAATTTAATTCCATCTATTACAGTAACCCACTTGTAAACTACTGTACAGCAGAGTGACATCCTCGACTTATCTTCTTTGTCTAAATTGCTTAGTGCTTATGTTTAAAAAAAAATTGATATATGTTTTTTTTTTWAATTTAAATTCTGACACATAATATATTTCTTTTGTAACGATAGAACTAACAGAATTAATTTCCTTTAGAACGTTTTTATTTAAATAAGTTATGATAACTTAAAATAATAAATAAAAACAAATACAAAAATTTGGGACGAAGTTGTCGAATTTTTCACTCGATTCCAAGCGTTTTAGTTGTGTTATTGAATTTATATAAATGTTTGATTCTTCGTCAGTTTTCTTTAAGTGAATACCATTTTCGTTAGCCTATACAAATTTATATGCATGTTCTTTTGCTACTAATTATTTAGCTATCCAAAGCAATTTCCTATTTAGGTTTCTTAGTTTTTGACTGAAATATTCTATTGTAATTACATTTTATACCTAGTTTTTTTGAAATCAATCGATATATAGATTTTTCACTGAATTTTCACGAAAACGCATTACCAATTCTACYAATTATTAGGGGGATATTTTAATATTGATTTTGGTCTAAAAACCAAATTAATGTCTTCTTCTTTGATATCAATGTTCAAAACTTGAGCTGCGGAAATTACTATTTCAGTTAGAGATTCATTTTTGGTATTTTTATGGAATTGTTATGTCATTACACAAGTTTGCTTGTTCATTAATATTTGTTTGGATTCAAGTAAATCGATCTTATTGATAGCATTATTATAATTAGATTCAGCCTTAGAAGTTTTTTCTTCAAGTACATACACTTTTTCAGCCATATTTTGTAACTTAATYTCATAATCATCAATTTTGTCGGAACAAAATTGTATTGATTTTTGAATAGATAAAAATTTATCTGTACTTGAAATAGTAAGTAGATACTTCAAGTTTATATAAAACTAAGTTGAAATTTGCATTTAAATCACACGTTTAGAGATGGTGATTTTCTGTTAAATTATCAACTTGCTCAAATTTTTTTCTTACTGAATTATTGGTTTGTAATTTTTCACATATCTATTAGTTTTAATTTGTTATTTGGGATGATTTTGTGATACATCTGGAATGAAATAATTGTTTGCATTTTGTGCATCCAATTTTTGTGGTCGGGGAAACCACAACATTGCACACGAAGCAAAGCAACTAGCAAGTGCAACTGTGCAACTATATAGTGCAAGACATATGACACAATACAAATTACTATAAATATTGAAAATGATAACGGTGCCGTATTTCATAACTGATAGGCGATACCTTAAGGACGTAATTACGATACTATTGATAGGTAGGTTTGGTACTCATGAAGACGATAACGTAGTAACTAGTAACGCACTGTCGCACTCAACAACCATTCCGAAATAATACGCAAAAAGTAGAATTTTAGAGTATCTATTTAAAAACCACGGCTGTTAATACACATTTACTTGGGCAAAYTTTAATTGTGGAATTTTTATAATCCTTAAATATTATGCAATAACAATTAATAATTAATTACTTGTGTTTTAAGAATTCAGCTAAAATAATAAGTTACTCATATTCTATTTTAACATTATACAATTTATTAAAATTTCTGTGATTGGTTTATGTATACCTAATATAGAATAAAATAAAAAAAAATATAAGTTTAATAATTTACTTTGTAGATACTTAAAATCATTGTAAATGGAAAATACTGCTGTACAGATTCATGTATCACGTAAAAAAGATGAAGAAGATAAAGAAGAAGACTACTGTGAGGAAGAAAATACTCATATTTTAGAATTAAGAGCTTTAAAAGAGTCTATCTTAAGTCGTTTCTCTTCTAAAGTTACCAAATCAGTGACTTTTATAATTGATGAGCTGCTGTGTGAAACTATATTTAATATTCATAAGGAATTAAAACTAAGAGTTCTTGATCCAAGACGGTTTGATACTAATTACAGAAGAAACTGTCTTACTCCAACCTTAGTACATATGGCTGAACATTTGAATATCTCTACACCAAACCAGGAAGTCGAATGTCCCAAATGTTTCATATCAGTGAAGTGTTTTTTATTATCTAAACACTTAGCATTGTGTATGAATCCGCAACAGAGCAATTATTCTTATAGTAGTAGAAGTAGTTCTCGAATAGCTCGACAACGTATACAAGAAGGTTTTAAAACGGCTTACGATGAATCTAAAAATGACAGTGATGATGAACAAATTAAACCAAAGAGACGTAGCACTAAAGGAAAAAAGTCAACAATCAAAAATATAAAGGGTAAAATTACCCAAGTCTAGTTATTTTCTTATTGTACTTTTTAGTTTAAAAATATTTAAACGTCATTAAAAATCAGTCATGTCATGGTTGGTATCTATATTTTTTAGAATTTTTCAAATTGTTAGTTTTTTGTTGACTTGATACTCATAAATTTGTTTTGTACAATATCTTTGTTATTCCCACAACTTATGACAAGTAGACGTTTAAACAAGGAGTGGTTATAACGGTTTATGGGTTCAACCACTCGCCTCAAAAATGTCTGGGATTAGACCTTACGGCCTAATTTGGACTTTTATTTAGCAGAATTTCTAATTCGACACCCGTTGGTTTCTGCCATGCCGGTTGGGACAGTTGCCTGCTCAGAGAGAGAGAGATGCTGCTCATGGCTGGGATTTGAACTTGTGACAGTGCGTATTAGAACCCATGCCGTAGTCCACTCGTCCACTCTCCCCCATTTTACATTCTGAGCGTATAACATCATATTAAATGTACATCCTACTATTGAATCAACAAAATATTAAGTTTTAATATAAATTTCAAATTGAAGTTTAGTGCTTAAAATTCAAATCATTTGTATAACTAGTTGTATATTTTTGTATTATTTTTGTACTGATTACTTTATATTCATAAGATGAATTATAATGATTTAATTAAATAAGTTGTATTTTACATTACTATTAGTTAATATAAAAATGTGTATTCATACATTGATTTCAACTGTAATACATTTTAATTACTTAAATAAAATATACAATGTACATTTTTTTCCACATCAAACAACCTTGCCATTATTACCAGTTGTGTTACTGAATATTTAAGCAGTTCCCAAATTTTTTTTACGTGGTGCCCTTTTTTGGACCAACTATATTTATGGTGCCCAAAAATATTCGGATTTGTCAAATCCGGATTTCACGGATTATCCGGATTATTCAAGTAAAATTATTATAGTAAAATTACTCAATGTTAACACGTTTGATGCAACAGAAATACTATTCCTACAAATATGTCTCCACTCTCCACTTGATATTTTTTGATAATTGTAAAAGAACATGTCCGAGTAAACAATTAAATCGATAACAATTATTGTTGTAAGATAAATTTAACTTATCTTAAAAAAACCTTTTTCAATAACCATCCGAAGGTCATGCAGTAAAGATTAATTAATTGGGTATACACTATACTTGTCTATTTGAAATGTATAGATTTCGAACGATTATTATGATCTGAAATTTGATATAATATAACATTTTTTTTAAATTTTCATTATAATAAAATAATTTATTTTACCATACATTAAAAATATTTGTAAGTCTGAAGTCACATAAAAAGCAAATCCATAAATCCGGATAATTCGGGAAATCCGGTTGAGAGTTTGATTCAAATCCGGATTTGGATATCCGGATATTCGGATAATTCAGATATTCGGATTTCATGTCCATCCCTACTATGAATACCAATAATATTATACAAGAGAGTACAAAAAAAATACTCATTGTTAATTAATAACAAATTTTTGAAAAAAAATTCTATACATTTTAAATTATTTATTATGAGCTGTAGACCTCAGTGCTTTTAGAATGTGCTCCYAGTGCCCCTGTGTGCATTTTGGGATTTGTTAGAATATTTGCTTTCATATTTCCTTCTTTATCGTAAAAATTATAAAATTATCCTCGTAAATCATCTATAAATCATAAGCTGCCTTATTAATTAATATAATCATGAATAATGTWAATAATATAATTGTATCAGCTAATACAATATAATAGTAGTTATTTTTATGACTTTTAAAATATTTAAATTTAGGAACAGCTGGACTAATTAATATTTTTTGTATGCAAATTTATTATTTTATCAATTCTTACCTTAATAATAGGCCATAACTTCACAACGTTAATATTAGTAAATAATACAATTATAAAATCAATTTATATAAATCAAACTTATATTTTACAAGTATTTAAAGTTTACATACAAAACAAATTACTAGGCCAATATAATCTCACAACAAATAAAGTATGAACTACAGTTTATCTAATATTGTATTGATTTGTGAAGACTCAAAAGAGCTGCATCTGCTTCGAGTAGAGTTAAATCTTTTTCAGAGCCCAAAAATCTGGTAGCTAATTCTAAGGATTTGATCCTTAATTTTACTTGTGATCCTCTTACAAAAGAACTATAACATACAAGAATTAAATTTAGTATAGTATTTTCTTCATTTTATACAAACAATGTTTCATTTTTAAAATATTATTWTGGTCAGTGGTGGAGTAATATAAGACATTTCAATAGGCCATTGCCAATTAAGTGATGGACCCAGTAGCACTTAGCTACCAAAAAAAAAAAAAAAAATGCTTTTTAGATAAATTAATATTAAGAATACATTTTAACAAAACTTAAATAATAGTTAGTATAGCTATTTTAATTCCAACTTTTAGATATTATTTGCTATGTAATATTAAAATTTATTTGAGCAAAACAACCATTATAATATGAACCAAATACAAATATAATTTTGTTTATATTGATTATAAGTAATAGCTCATAATTATATAATAAGTCCATTAAATAAAAGTTTTGTTTTTGTTTCCAGTGTCTAATAAATGCCATGGATTAAAACACAAAATGCACTTTAAATAAATCGTCTAATGGGATACAAAAATTCAAGGGGAGAAGGGTTGCAAATAAAGTAACTGACAGGCAAATCCCTATAGTCAAAATAAGTATTTATTTTATAATTATTGTGTCATTCCTACAATACAAATAAGAAGTAATTTTATATTTATAGAATATTCTATGGATTTTACTATGCAAAATATAACCTCTATGAATCTGTACCTATAATTTAAGTGGTAGTGATGACACATTAGTCATTACCTCTCATGATTAAAAATAAACACTCATTCCACCACTGTACTAATTAATATTAATTACCTATACTTACTCAGCATTTTTAATTGGTCTAGTACAAACGCAATGAAATTTCCATCCAAAATCAATATACAAATCATTATCAACAATATGAAATATAGTTCCAATCACTTGTTTACCCTCAGGATCACCAAGCTGTTAAAGAAAATCACATAAGTATAAATTCAAATTATAAAGGGTTGCAAGTTACATTTATAAAATTTGAATTCCTCAATAGTATTTCAAAGTCTAGGTCTTCTTCAACAACTTGTTTGTTCTCTTTGGTTTTTTCGTAAAACTCAGCAAACGCGCCTTGTTTTAAAGTAGTTAACTTGTCTTGTTGTTCACCATGACTATAAGATCGAATAAATTCCATTGTTGACACTCGTAATTTTGTTGTAATTATTTTCGATAACGGTGTATTGCTAATATTTCGGCAAAATATTCGACAAGCACTGGCCATTGTAGATATAAGATTGATTTACTAAATTTACTTGAATGTAATTTTAAAAGTAGAATTGTAGACAAAAATGTATTATTAAAATGTTATTATCATTACAAAAGAATTAATGTTTTGAAATATTGTGTTAAAAAAATATTAGGCAGTTGTGGTCTGTGAATTGGAAGGTACCAAGAATCACCGGACGCWGGTTAATTAATTTCAATCCGTGCCGACAAATGCGTTGAGTTTTATTGCTAAAATTATAAGGCATAAATCATAATTCATAATTCTAAAATATGCTGAATGCTGAAATGTACCTATCCTTATCATAGAATATAGATTATGATCCTTATAACAACATGGTTAAATATTAATTAATAATATTATATTTTGTTCTTTGATATCGGCATATCGCAGAATATGTGAATAGTATAGTAATATCATTTTATAATTTTTTATTTAGTCGCATAGAATTGTTGTTACCGGTATACCTGTTAGATGGTTGTATAGATAATATATATTATCTATTGGTGATATAAAAAATAGGTTAGAATTTACTATTTACTATTTTAAAATCACGATAAGGTATTTCAAAACAAATAACAATCAAAAGTTTAAGTGCCGAAACATTAAGAAACTTTTAACTTCCATAGTGGTACTGTTTACTGTATAGTGTTCTACAGTTCAGTATTCTACAAGTGCAATCTGTGTGTTTATGATCTTTGTGCAATGTATCTATATTGGTACTAATCACTTTAATACAAAACATCAACACAATTTTAAGTCTATATTTTTTTATAGTCTTCACTGTTCTTCAAATAATACTTATAATTAATTGATTGAAGGGTATTACAATCTACAAAAATAGTAAAATTATGAATCTTAATTAATTTTAAAGCTGTTATTTTTCGATTTTTTAACAATCATGAAAGTGGTAAGATTAAAAACTAAACAAAATACTTACAATTCTGATCTGTTTAAAATAATTTGTATTTTTAAATGCACAGTATTGTTTAAGTGAAGATCCAAACAAACCATGTTTTGTGATAAAGTTAAAATCAGTTACTATAATGTTGGACTGTGGTCTATCAGCGCACAGTGTTTTGAATTTTTTACCTTTATATCCAATACCAGACTGGAAACCAAATAAAGCGGCAGCATGGATACCTAAGAATTTTTCTGACCCTCAAATTGAAGGGGTATACTACATTTTAATTTTTGATTAAAATATTCATAAATTAAATATCATGATCTTGTTTATTAAAAATGTATTAAATAGGAACTTAATGAATGTATGACTAATCAAGTCCTTGTAAATTCTGCACCTGAATTCATGACACCACTTACAAAGTTAGTTGACTTTGCTGATATTGATGTTATATTGGTATCCAATTATATGACCATGTTGGCTTTACCATTTATTACTGAAAATACAGGTTTCAAAGGAGTTGTGTACATGACTGAACCGACTTTACACATAGGAAAGTGAGACATTAAAATTTGTTAAATAATTATAAATATAGGTACTATGTAAAATTTAAATTTGTTKTTAGATTATTTCTTGAAGAACTAGTAGATTTTGTTGAACAGTCGCCAAAACCTAATGTTGCCAAATACTGGAAAGAAATATTGCATTTACTTCCACCACCATTGTGTAACAGTTTTAAGCCTCATACATGGAAACAATTGTATAGCCTTGCTCAGGTTAATTCGAGTTTAACACGTGTGCAGATGATTAGTTATGATCAAAAAATTGTAAGTTTTATAATAAATTTTAATTTTATATTAGTTACTCAACTATAACTTTTGCTTTAGGAAATTACAGGCGCATTGACTGTAACAGCTGTTAGTTCTGGTTATTGCTTAGGTAGCAGTAATTGGGTAATATATTTGGAAAGTAAGAAATTGGTTTATGTCAGCAATACATCAACATTGACAACCCATCCAAGGTATTATTTTTAATATTGAACAAGTAAAAAGATTACAATTATTAAATAATGTGATTGATGCAATGTTCCTTTTTCTAACTAAGACCCATGGATCAAGTTAACTTAAAAAATGCTGATCTAATGCTGTTAAGTAGCTTAACACAAGCACCTGCTGCTAATCCAGATTCTATGCTCGGAGAACTATGTCTCTCAGTTGCTGTTACTTTGCGAAATAATGGTTCAGTTCTTATTCCGTGTTATCCATCAGGTGTTGTTTATGATTTATTTGAATGCTTATCATCTCACTTGGACAGCACAGCTTTAGGTCAAATTCCAATGTATTTTATTTCTCCAGTGGCACATAGTTCTTTAGAATATTCTAATATTCTTGCAGAATGGTTAGTAAAAATAGTAAGCTTATTTTAATAGTAAATTAAATAAATATTTTCTCAATGTGATTAGGCTTTCTCAATCAAAACAAAATAAAGTATACTTTCCAGAAGAACCATTTCCACATGCACAACTAGTTAAGTCTGGACGTTTAAAGCATTTTAAACATGTTTATACTGATGATTTGTGGAACGATTTACGGCAAGTGAGTACAAATTATCCATCTTAAACTTGCTTTTAGGTTGTAATTATGTTTCAATATTTTTTTTAAGCCTTGTGTGGTATTTTGTGGTCATCCTAGTTTGCGATTTGGTGATGTTGTACATTTTGTGGAATATTGGGGTACAAATCCTCAGAATACAATTATATTCACAGGTAATTCATTTTCTTTCAAAACAGTAAATTAATAATTATATTTTATATTTTATATTCTGATAGTACCGATTAAAAATTGTGCTGTAATATTAACCCATATTAAATTGGTACAATTAGAATCAATAGTTTTATTAAAGCATTTTCATGACTATTTATTAAAATTTTAGAACCTGAGTTTCCATATTTAGAAGCTTTAGCTCCATTCCAACCACTGGCTATGAAAGCTATGCACTGTCCTATTGATACAAGTATGAATTTTACCCAGGCCAACAAAATGATTAAAGATCTTAAACCAGCCGTKTTAATTTTGCCTGAGCGTTATGCCATTCCACCAACTGGATTTGGTCATAAAAATGAATTTGTTATTGATCAAGTATGCTAGAAAAATTTTTTTTAACTAATCACTTTAGATACAATTTAATTACTCGTCTTATTATTCTTATAGATTGATAGAAAAGTATTGACTATTAAAAGAGGTGAAGTCATTTCAGAGAAACTTGATATAAAAACAGTCAATGTACCATTTACAACAGAAATGGTAGTAAGTGTAACACTTAACGAATTACAATCTGGATTAAAGGCATCAAAATTTACAGCTGTTTTAGACACTAAAGATAATAAGTATAAGTTAGACGTAAGTTTTATTATATTTAATTGTTATATTATATAATAACATAATACTATACATTTTAGATTTTGAGGGATGACTTATTAGCAAATAAGACAACTGAACCTTATCTGTTAGAAACTTTATTTAAAAAAACTTATGAGTGGGGACAATTGGATATTGATAGGTTTTTACGTGCATTGACCAATGAAGGAGTGAGTGACCCTAAAATCGAACACAATGCACATGGGTATACCATACATCTTGTAAGTTAACTATTTATTTTTTACATCCATTATTATTGTTTTTACTTCTTATTTACCTGCTCTTAGAAATCAGAAGACACATTAATTCAAGTGGATGATAAGTCCACTCATATATTCTGTGAAAAGATGGATAAGAACTGGAGACTTAAACTTAGAAGTATAGTTATGGAATGCCTTAATTCTTTTTAAATATAATGATCATTAATATTTATTGTTTTACAAGTAATTTACACGTTTCAAAGACTGTTATTTACATTAATCCCTATCATTGTGGTTGAGAAACAATTTATAAATAAACAAATAATAGTCAAAACTAATTGGATACCAGTTCAATTTGTTTATATTTTTTTCGAAAATTTGATACAGGGTCCTTGAATAAAATTGGATCAAATCTTACACTTGATTGAAGTAATGGCATGTAACCAAAAAGTACTACAAAAGTGTTTAAGCAAGTTTGTCTTTGCATAAAGTGATCTGGATCATTCCAAGGTGATCTATAGAATTATATTAACATACATTAAAAGTACATATTTTATAATAAGTAAAATAAGTTAGAGCATTATTTACTTTGGCATTCCATTGTTAGCTTGCTCTTTGTAGTGTTTTCTCTGTGACACTTTAATTGGTGGATGACGAGTTACATGACTGACTAAAAAGTTCATGAGTATATCTTCACAATTATGTGATTGTTCAACTGTTTTGATCAATAAAGGACTTAACCATTGAGTATATAGTGTGTTATAATATTGATGATAGAAAGCAGCACCGGTAAGTATTATTGAATATTCATTTGTCCATTTTGAAGTATATAACCAAGAGTCCTGTTAATTTTGAGTAAACAAAATATTCAAAATTAAATTAGCAATGAATCGAATTATTCAAATCTTAAACTCTGTATGGAAAAATTACAAACCGAACTATCAAGCATCTTTTCAAAATATTCTTAAACAATATTTAAAATTAATTGTCTCTACTTTACAGAAATTAAAATGTTGGTATCATAATAGTATTGAAATATTAAATATTATTTTTATACTATTACGATTTGGTAAAATAAAATGCTGGGATCGGTAAACAATGTTAACGGTTTGGTTTGGTTTGGGTTCACAACACTTTGACAGTGTTTGGTTTAATACTGAAAAATCATGTTCAACCCATCACTACTGCAGAGCTTGCACTAATGTGCAGTTGTGCACCAAATGTGCAGTTCTTATTTAAATGTTGTGCAGTTCATAAAATTCTATTTTACGGAATTATTAGGTCGGGTGTACATTTTATTACCGACCATGGTAAATTATTTCAACGGAGTGTTTCCAGATGCTACAAAAAAACATCACCAATATGAACATAGTGATTAGTGATGCTGATGATGAAAAAGTTGTAACAAAAAARAAAAAGAAATCATTTTATAATTAGATCAAAGGAAATTTGCTATTTAAACTATTAATATTTATACAATATACAGGGTATCCCACGAGAATTTACTCACTGCGATATTTCACGATATAATGGAGATATAAAAATTCTGGTTTTGTAATATGTGGGGATATGAACTACAATGATTTCATTTTTTAATTTATTTAAATGTTTTGGAAAAAATAAAAATAAAAATAAATATATTTTGTTATTTCTGAAAAAATTGAAGATAGCTATTTTGTAGAAGTTATTTTCATTTATTTCTTGATTTTTAATATTTTTTTTCTAGTTTTGAAGAAATAAAATGTGTTTATAACTAGGCACACTAAGTGTTTGACTGTATGAGAATGGGCTTGGCGTGGCGAGTCACATGTTTGATAACACTGCGGTGTTAAATATTTCACAATWTTTCACAAAACTAAAAAAAAAAAATTTGAAATCAGGAAATTAGAGAAAATAAAATGATGAAACATCAATATTTTCAGAAAAATGAACTCCACAAAATGGATATAATGGATTTTTCGGTAATAATAAAATAAAATAATATATTATTTTTTACAAAAACATTAAAATGAAATGAATGTTGTTCTTATCCACATGATTCTTATTGCAAACTTAGAATTTCAATACCTCYATTATTTCGGAAGGGGTAAATCTTTGTGGGACACCTGTGTCCTGTATATACATTATGACGTATGATATAATATAATTTAATATTTATGATGGTAATATACCATTACCATTAATAATATTTTATTATATGCGAACGTCAAATTATTTCACTTCTATAAAACAAACAGRATGTGCAGCTCTAATATTTCCTTAGCGCAAGCTCTGCACTACTGAATATACATTTTGTCATACATAACGTTTATGTATTATTGGAGTTAGATGTTTTGAGTATAGATATTAGATAATATTATTAATTTCATATCACGTACAAGAAATCATATCAGTTAATAAAAATTAATTAAGCTAACCTTGCCGTTGTCCCAATAATGTGATCTTGCCGGAAATCCAACAATTCTATCAGGAAACGATTGCCAGACATGAAATGCAAAATCAATTTCATCCGCTGTTAAAACTACATCATCATCTAATGATAATACGGCTTCAGTCTTAATAAATGGTAATGGTTCAAATCTCCGGCAGCCATTTCCAGATGATACTAATATTTGTATACCAGCAATTTTTTGGTATCCACTTTTGCCATTGTTGTCAGAACATGAGTTTATAATTATCTAAATTAAAAATGATAACATTTAGTTCTGTTAGTGTTATGCACATCAATATAGTTACTTGAGCTAAGTATTTGCTTGCGGCTATGTTGCGAACTAATCGATACAGCGGTGTGTTCAGACTATTATGTTGTGAGAAAATTAYTACGGTAAAATTAGGACTGGGTTGTTTACCAAGTAGATGATAATTGAATGGTARGTTAAAATTAAGATAATTGGTATACGAATGTTGTGAGACAAGAGCTCCAGGTGATGTGTTCCAAACTATGCCATCCCGAGATTGCAACTTAGGTAAACGCTCTTTAATTATCTAAAAAATACCCAAACTAATTAATTCAAATATAGTCATCACATAATTTTAAAATAACTACCTCAAATGTAGTAAACACAATTTTTTCAATCGTGTTAAAGTATTGTTCCCATAGAATTTGTGTTTGTTGTCTCAAAGCAAAAAGTTTAGTTTCTGATATTGAATGAATCACTTCTGGTACTTGAAACAGCAATCGTTCGTCAGCCCATATCACAGCTTTATTCCAGTCTATCACTTCATCAAAAGGCAGAGCCCAATTATTGGATAGCAAAACAGGAATACAACCAGCCTGTAAAGCTTCTAAGAATCTGTAAGATCCTAATCGGCGGCCTCTAGGAACTAGACAAAATGTTGAATTTTTAAGTAGGGATCCATAATCATATCTAAAAAAAAAATTATCAATTCAAATCTGTTATGTAATTTTAAACTTCATTTACTTTTCATATAWAGTGTTATCAACATCACATCTTTCATCTTGAGCATCTTTCCAGTTTTTGCCATGTTTACAAGTTGTAACAACTATTGTGTCCTTTCCATTATGTAAATGAAAAATAGAATTTCGAGTCTCAGAGCCACTGCCAAGGACATATCGTTTACCTTTAAACGCCAGTTTAATGTTTTTAGTAATAGGATATGTATTGGAGCGAACAAAACCGGGTTCACCACCTCTTTCAGGGTGTTTCTAGGAAGAAAAAAAAAATGATATTTAATTGTATTCATTAAAATATTGCCAAATGTAATCACTTTGTGGAATAATGGAAATGAAATATCAAAACCAGGTCTCATGTTAGTGACTGACATACTAGCTTTGGCTAGAATAGCATCTCCAGTATGAAATCCAAGGTCATCTTCATTGTAATCTGGCCAAGAACCAGAATACAAATTAAAAATTACATGATTTCGGCCACCACTCCAATGTCTGAGTCTTTGCATTTTCACAGGAATATTACGCAGATAATCTGGAGATAAGGGATCTCGATCTAAAGTATCAATAGCTATCACAAATACACAAGCTTTTGTGTATTCATCTGTGTAATATCTAGATTCCACAATAATATCCAACATTTTCTGATACAAAACACTACGAGTTGAGGTCATTAACCCACTGGTTTCTAATTCAGACAATGGATACACAAACACTCGAAAATCCTTATCACATCGTGAAGAGTCAAAACATGTCTCCATTCTGAAAAAATATATTATGTCATAACTTATGAATAGATATAAAAAATTAAACCTTTTTGGGTAATGACATGTATGTTGCAGACAAAAACATGCCTGCTATGCTAATGACATATTACGAGTATACATTAATAATAAAGTGCTACAGAATGGATTAAATTTTGCTAATAAAGTAATAATGGTAATCATAATTTAATACCTGCAGTTCTTGTTAGTTTTCCTATGTGATGTGTGATATGGCATTTGTTGCCTAGCTTCGTATGTTTTTGCAGCAGGAGGACGACCAACTTCTAAACTTTGATGCCAGTTATCCATGAAAGATGGTAGATTTTCCACATCATTAGCATTGTAGGTCAGATGGAGCAAAGTGTCTGGTTTTCTAGTAGTTTTTAGAAAACACATGACTAAAATTAATAATAAAACTATAAGGCAAATTAATATGAATCGTTTTTTTGCTTGCATACTAAATAAAAATTATTTTTATTAATAAATTATAAAAAGATCATATTAAATTTTAAGTTTTAAATGCTTAGTCAATGCAAGCAATTGAAAGAGTAATGTAAACTTATAGAGACAAAAATTGTTAGAAACGATGTAGTTGACAGAGAAAACATAGTTTTAATATTAATTTTAAGCTAAATTCAATTAATTTTTAATTTTTATAAAACGCCAAAACGGCTGTCAGAGTGTCAGCTACTATACATTAAACATCACAAATTCTGTAATTCAGAATATCAGATAATATAATATTATTATCATAGACAAGTATGAAAGTGGATCTAATCACGATTCAAGATATCTTGTTCTATGCTAAATGCTTATGATCGCGGACTATTTATATCTAAAATATTGCAAAGTTGTTATTATATTATATTATGCATTGTCATCATTAAAACTGAATAATAGATGGCATTGTTTTCCTAAAACTCCCTAGTCATTTTGACATTTTGGTTCCACTGATAATGTTTCGAGACCAGGG